TCAAATTATTTTTTGCCATCTTAAAAAAAATCCATTATCACCTTCCTAACATGTTGTTATTGGAAATACACAGATTCACAGAACAGTGTTATGGCTATGTTTAGCCTGATTAACCACTCTGACGTACTTCTTGAAAGTCAGTTCCAACAGCCAAGACCAGTGCAAGGAAACCAGAGGAATCCTGCTAACACATCCACATTCATGCAGTAATGAAGACATGAGGATCATTCATTTCCACAGAATGACAAACGGAGTTCAAACAACATTAATCTAAATCTGCTGAAGTGTAAACGAGCTGAACATTACTGTGGTTGAGTCGGAGGTCGGGAATTCAGTGTCAGCGGCAATGTGAAAATTCAAGGACAAGGTCGAAAGTTAAGCAGCAACCATAAAGTCAGGCCGAATGAACTGGTTAAACCTGGCAGACAACATAGTCCGTTTAAATATTTAACTCCATCCACTGTGACTACTTTCATTTCCTTTACCGTCCTCATCTGACCCTGAGTTCCAGTTGTTGTTTTATTTCCCTGGTTGTTGACACCTTCCTTTTACACCTTTGCGTCCTGAGGGTGGCTCTGAATATTTTCCTCTCCGTTAACACTGGAAGCTCTAACACATGTGGTGTAAACAAACATGCCGCTCTGATTAGGCTACTGGTAATTGTCCTGAATGCAAATGACGACATGGAAAACAATTGGACAGTTTTACTGGTTTTACACTGGTTTTTGGAGTCTTCCATCCTGTTGTGTTTGTAAGCAGACTGTGACAGTGTGTTCCATTTATCAATAAGCTGTCCCATAAAGTTGTAAACACTAGCCCTCAGCTTGTATCTTCATAGAGTTGGTGGATTATAGTCCTTCGAGCTGCTGTAGCTTTATTTAACTGTTCCCCACAGTGTGTGTAAATAACATGTATGGACTGTGTTTAAGATGAATTTGATTAAACAAAAACTCATCATGGAAGAAACACCTGGACACAGAAGGTATCAGACTGAACAAGGAGCCTCTTGTCCTCGGTGTTCTCCTGTCAGTAGACTGTGAACTGCTGCAGGACTCGGCACACCATCGCATGTTGAACCCGTTGACCTCTACAGCGGCACAGCGGTCGGAGGTTGGAGTCCGTCTCCACCCCTTCACAAAAGCAGCAGCTACCGAGGCTCAGATCTAACCATGACGCAACAGTTCACACCCGCAGCAGGAGTGAACGACAGCGGCCTAACAACTTCACCAAGTCATGAAAAAAACCTCCCAAAAAAAACACAGCAGCATGAATCACTGACTGCAGAACTAACAGGAAACACACTTGTTTCTCAACAAGGAATTAACACGACATTAACACGTCACAGAGTGCACTGCTTCAGTATCTTTATATGTTTGATTGAGACTAACCTTTAGCTCACGTTTGGGTAACCTTCAGCTATATTTTGTAAAAGTTTGGCTTCCCTTTGGAAGGCTCTACTGACGATTTTTCAATCTTTCTGCTCTAGCTTGGCTAATCTGTGTTTTGCTTTTGGTGTTCCTTTATTTTCTGGTGTCTTTTCAGTTTTACAAATCAAATTACAAATGTACCCATCGTTGCAATACTATACTTTGGCGACCTTTTAGCTATGGAACTATATAGAGTGCCAAGGCTAATTATAACTTTCCTTTTGGCTAACTTTATGCTTCGTTTTGGGCTATTTTCTACCCATCTCTTCAGCTTTCACCATATAGGATAAGGACACTGCCGCAAGGTCAAAGGTTAATATGTCTGGTGTGCCGCAGAGAGTGAGGTGAGGGAAAGGTGATGCCTCCCAGGAATGCTGGAGCTATTTTTTTTCCCACAAATTGATCCTTGGCAGAGAAAAAGTGTCTTTTTCCTCCAGTGAAGCAGCGAAGCTTTTATGGAGCCATTATAACCTGGACAGGCAGAAGATTGGGTTCCACTGTGGTTTTCAAATCCTGCTCAGCAGCTATTATTCAGCAGAGAGATAAACCCCGGCATCTCTTTTCACACCTGTCTGCTCATATTCACTTCACAAAGAGGGTCTGTGTGAGCGGGTCTTCATTTACATCATTTGGTTTCTTTTTATCTCGGCAACTGCAGTACAAAGGGAAACGTTTGACGAAGGGACAATGTGCTACAGTAGATATTCACTTCATGGGCTCCACTGTTTTTCAACTGTCGTGTCTACATGGAAATTATGTTTATTTTTCATCTTAAATAATGCTTGTAGTCTGAGCGGCATTTGTGGCCATTCCACAAATTGAAATGTAAACTAACACAGAGTATATGAGAAAAATAAGGCCCGCGGGTCATCTCAGGACACTGACTGATACTGTCAAACTCCAAACACGCATCAATTACTGTTCATCATCAGAAAGTCCTAGATGGAGCCAACGAGAAGAACAACAAGAAGAACACTCTGAGCCCGTAATAACATATCTGTACTTTGTCCAAAACTCTTGCTCCTAATTGGAAACATTTATAATATTTAACACTATAATCAATTCTGTCCATTTACAACTATCCCAGAAATAGATACAGACAACATCTGAAACTGTCTGAGCTTCATCAAGAGTGGGTCCAGTACCGGACTGGGTCTAATCTATGAAATAAAAAAAAGGTGGTTCCCTGAGTTTACAATTCTGATCCATGACACTCAAGTATTCAGGATCCATCCTGTCGTCATGATCTGACTGGATCTGTTGGATCTCTCTTTGGGGATGGTTACTGTCCAGTCAGCACAACAGAAACAAGCTTCCTAGTGTGAATAAACGTCCACATCTTTGGTGCATCGCAACCCAGCTGCTCTGAATTTTCACAAACGGAACAATCAGTTGGAATTGGAGACTACCTCCTCCTCCTCCTCCTCCCCCCCCTCCCCCCCCCCCTCTCCCTCCTCCTCCCCCTCCTCCTCCCAACTGGAGTGTGTTTGCCCACTTTAGTAGATAATCAGCTCGTATGCGCTCCGTCTAACTTATCTGCCACGGCCTCCTGAACACTGATGCCTCACATTCACAGCCTGTCTGGCCTGCGACCAGTTTCCAAACAGCTTTACTCAGCACTGCTGAGCACCTAATAACAGGATGTGGAACGCCGACTGACAAACTGGTCCCAGTCCAACTGACTCTGCCCCAAAGGCCTGAGCTCTAATGTTGGTGACTATCAGAGGGAGGAAACTGGGTTAATTCAATATCAACCTACAGTTAAAGAAGGAGAGAAAAATCTTTCACAAGTGTCTGTGTGTGTGTGTGTGTGCGTGTGTGTGTTCATGTAATCACTACACTTGGCTTCCTCCAAGAGTTCCTGCTCAAGTCCAAGCTCCAGGAATTAGGAAAGAGCCTGACATGATTTAAACTCCATAACAATGACAATGTAACACTGTGTTTCTGTTGTCTCACACACACACACAGACACACACACACGAAAATACAGTATGGGTCACATTTGGACAAAAGAATAAATATGGGTTGCATATGGAGAAACTATGATTACATATGGGTTAGATATGGACAACAGGGTCACATACTGACAGAAAATATTTATAGGTCACATGAAATTAAAATAGATATATAATTAAATAAATAATGAAATAATAAATTATTAGTCACAGAGTCACAGAGACAAAAATAATCAAATATAAGTTTCAAATAATGTCACATTGTGACAAATACATATGGGTCAGAGATGGAGAAAACATTTAGAATGGGTCCCATACTAACAAAAAAATTAAATAAAAGTGATGTATGGATAAAAAGTGACCACATGTGTGTCATATAGGGGCAGGAACTAAAAGAATGAGTCACAGATGAACAAAATCTGTAATATGGGTCACATATGGACAAAACATGAATACGTAAGAGAAACATATGGAGAAATGGGTCCAGTGTGGATGAAAAAGTTAAATCACTCCTCCTTACCACACCGACACAAGGAGAAGTGAGGACGTTGGTGTCAGACGTTTGTCAGTGAACAGTGACCTGAGCTGATCTCCCTGTGGACTCAGACAGGTTGGTATTTCATAGAAAGTTGATCCTCAGCAGCAGAAAGGGATAAAGGAAAGTATTTCATTTGACATATTTCTCCAAAATTCACCTCAGATACTTCACTGCACTGATAGTTACTGACCCATTACTGAGCTCCTTTAACCACGGAGTCCTCCCCGTAGTTCTGAGGTCAACCAAAGGTTGTCAGGACTAATGACATTACAAAGGTGTGTCAGTCCAAAGCTAACTCTTGTTTTATAATGTTAGTCCTCCTTTGTAGGATCTGTATTTTATAACAGCTGTATTTGTATTCAGGTATTTCTGATTGATGTTAACAACAGATTCTTGCTCAATTTTAAATGTTTCATTACAAACTTTGTGGTTTTCTGATAATTCATATATGACAGATAAATGAGATGAAAACACTACCTCTAGTTTGGACAGGGAGTAAATATTCCAACGCAATAATAAAGGCTCACCACAGATGCTTGTGTAAAGTATTCCGTTCACGATGTCGGCTATAAACTAATAAAATATCAGCAGCGTTGTAAATTATTCCTCAGACAGACTTTAACCCTGGTTTTAATTTCTACTTCAAACACAGATAATTGCCAGAAGCTACATTTCCATAATAAATCAAGGAGGAGCTTTATGAACATCAAATGAGTTATGATCTATTTCGATGTACTTATTTAAATATACTTTAACAAGTTCATTGTGCCTCCTTATGCTCAGACCTCCTCCCCATCAACCCTCAAACACAACGCTGCCACTAAAAAAAATGTCTATAAAACTGGTCTTTGGAGCAAGCAGGGTGGGGTTAGTTTGCATAACTGCCTCCTACTGGCTCTATTTTAATTGGTAACACCCCAAAAATACTTGTGGGCAAATTTGAAAAACAGGTAGGGGGCAGCATAATGTTCCCTTTGTGACCCATATTAGACTAAAGAGGATAATCTGGTGGAATATTCCTGCAAACCTTACATGTTATGGGCAGCACCTGAGCTGTGGGACAACCCCAAGACCACTCACCTCATTGGACGGCATGCTGACGACCCCCGTTGACCTCCTCTTCTCCCTCAGCTTCCTCTTCTCTATCTGACCTTTGCCTTTCCTGGCACTGGGGCCGCTGCTGCTCTTCTTCTCCTTGCCTTTCCCGGGTGATGGACTGTCTTTGTCAGAGTCATTACAGGCCACTGGGCTGCTGGGCTCACAGGGTGACACAGCTCTGTCCTTCTTCAGGCCGCACACAGGGGTCGCTGCAGCTACAGGTGCGCATGTAGGCACGGGGACCGGGTGTTGAACCTCCTCCTTCTGCAGAGAGGCAGCGGAGGAAGAGCGCGCCACGGAGTAGGAGCCCGGCAGCACGCAGTTGCCAGCGGAGGCGCTGCGCTCCGGGTTGCCGTTGTTGGAAAGCTCGGTGGCCGGAGGTGGAGGTGGAGGAGCAGCAGATGCTGCGGTGCCTGGGGGTGTGCTGCGGCTGTTGGGGTTCAGCGGTGCCCCGGTGGCTGCAGCGATGTCGCCCAACATCTTAGCTCTCATTTTCTCCCTCTTTGCCTTCCACTCCTCCAGAAAGTCAGTGGTGGCGTTGGGCTTAAACCCTCCCGTGGCCATGCTCCCGGTTCCTCAGCTCCACTTCGTGAAAAATAAACTTTTTCAAAAGTTGCTATAAACTTTCCTCTCACTTTCTCAGTGAAACCTCATTCCCTTTTTTACACTTTTACCCAACTTCTCAAGCGGCTAATGCGGCTGACAGGTACGAATGAGTTGAAAACTCCTCCTAAAAAATACGAGTTTACTTTTTGTCCTTCTTTTTCCGTCTCAAAAATGTCCCAGCAGTGAATGTTTTCAGTGAGTAAGAATAAATGTATCCTTCCGGATAATTCGGCTCTGTCAAAGTTGCTTATCCGCTGAAAGTTCTTGACAAGTTGCTCTGAGAGAAACAGAAGTGAACTCACCTGCGAGGAGCTGCTAACTGAATACAGCGGCTCTGGTTCCTCCCCACTCTGTGTTCGCGCGCGTGCGTGTCCGTGCGCGTACGTCCTCAGCGCCAGCTTTGCCAGTTCTTTGGCTGCTCCGTAAACTACCGAATGTTTCCGAACCAAGTCGAATAGACGAGGCGCTAAGCATAGATCGGTGACGGTTCTAGAACAGTCTTCCAACATCCCTAAATATCTCGATTTTCTTTTGTTCTTTACAGTATTTGATGTTTATAAACTTTGTTTTTGACATATGTCATTTATAAAATATTGTTGCTGCATTATGATAATTACATTTACATAAATTTCATTTGAATTGTATTTTTTAATAATTGTAATTTTATGATTATGGAAGTATTTATTATTATTATTATTATAGTTTAAACTTTTATTAATTTATCATTTTTATAGTTGTCAGATTACTCACAATTTGGATAATTTTGTATTATTTTTAAACGTCAAAATTACTTTTATAATGCGTCACATTTGTTTATTTCCTCTAAAGATATAACAGTCTACTTTTGATCTTATTACATCTGCTTTAATTTAATTTAAATGCACATTTTAAAGAGAATTTGAAAATAAGGCCTTAATTGAAACAGTTGTTGTGATAAAGATGTAGCAAGATTTAACTATTGGTATATCTTTCCTTGTCAGGTAGAGAGTTAAAAAATGTTTTAGCACTAAGTCTGGCCACCGGTGTGTTTCTGTTAACAACTCATTTATAAAAACACAATTAAAGTTTTTCTGCATCGCAGCATTTGTCACTGACGGTGTTTTCGCCCCCGCAGATCCCACAGACTGTTCTCCCTCAGGCTTTTTAATGAGTCAGCACAGTCCATTCATGGAGACATGTGACTTCAGTCAAGCAGAAAAAAAAACATAATCACAACGTTTCCTTAAATTAATGTCCAAACGATTAAAAAAAAGGAAAGAAAAGAATTCCCTAGTGGAATTTTCTTCCTCTGCTGCTTTAACGTGGACATTGCAACAAGAGCTAAAATATTTAAAGAATATCAAGTGTACTTTTAATTAGGGCTGGGACTTATTAAAGAGAGATAAAAGAAAAGAATACAACATTTTAAAATTTAAAACATTTATCTGTATGCCATTAAAGTCTAGCACACTTGTAACACGCACTCCAGCAGGTAGGTGGTGGTAGTGCACCTTCAATTTGTTTGTTAGCTGCAAAGATTCTCACTATTGTTGTGATGTGTCCAGGTTTGATTCATTACTTCCAGGGTCTGAAAATACTTCAGAAAAGGTAGTTTTTGTTTCATTCAAATATTCTCTAATACTTCTGCAGCTCCACTGTGATGACGCTGCAGGACATTCCACACAAATTAAATTCTTACGCATTCTTTCATTTCCTCGCTGCACGAGTCTGTGAGGCAATTAAAACCTGAGGTCAGGCTGCACTAACAGGTGCGGAGCGTGTGTAGCCGTGGCTGCGGTGACTTGACATTTTAGTTTAAACTTTTCATCAACTTTTGCTTAAATGTCTATATTTAATATATGTATTAATCATAAAACATGTTGTTGCATTAGCATTAGCTTGAAGGTTAGTAACTGAAATTCTTTAAAGTTAGCTCAAATCCAAAAATCGTCCAAAGATAATTTAACTTGACGGGGGTTAAATAGTAGCTTAATATAGAAAATGGTAAAGTTTCAAAGGTTTGGCTAGAAATTGCTCACAATATATCTTTTAAATAGCAGAAATTAGCAAAAATGTCATGTATTTTCTGACCTCATAAAGACTACCCAGGTGCCACAACTGTCCTCCGCACCAGATGTTTGACCCACTAGACCTACTCAGAGTCCTACAGCCTTCAGTCCAGGCTCTTTATCTGTTCATGTTTCAGTTATGTAAAAGATAATGAGGCATTTTTAGTGGGGGGAGACGTCTGAGAAGTGAGGGAGACGTCTGTCCTAAAAATAAGTCCAGGTCTTTGGTCACAATGACTCACAAATACAATACTGTTCCTGAATATACTCCAGTTAATACACTGTATACTTCCTATGTACTGTATAAAATATACCTATATACAGTATAATCTGTTGTGTATATTTTGCAAGCTGCACCAATCACAGTCCTTGCTGGCTGCTGTCTGTTATGGAGAGTGCCCCCTTGAGGGGTTTTTTGATAACAGCACAGCTGCACTTCCTGCAGGGACCGACCACGGCTCGGGTCCTCGGCACCTGCCCTGTGACTACAGGTGCGTATGTAAGCTGTAATCTTACACACACCCAGGTTTACACCCATACAACAACACGAAGACAACAGTTTCCATTAATCACTGTGGAATCTGTGACACGCGAGTTTGAGTCTCACTTTGTGTTTTCCATGTCGGATGTTTTTTATCGGCAAATCCAGAGTCAGCAGATAATAATTAGATTGTTTAAAAAAATAGAAATATTACATTTAACTAACAAAAATAACACTTTAATTCACTCTATCGCTTTAGCATAAATATAGTATGTATTGGTATAATATCGTACAATATTCAAAATGCGTGTATATTTTTACACCGAGTCGTGACGTTGGAGTTTGAGAAACTGTACCATCTACTGGCGTAGGAGGGAAACTGCAGCAGTAACAATTCGATGCGCTGCTGAAGTACAAGAATAAATAAATAAAAATCGTATGCTGCCAAAATAAATTGAAATAGACATCAAGTGTTGGCTTCACATAAGACACAAATGCATGTACTGAATAAAAAAATGAAACTATAACCTTGTGTACAGTATTTTGGAAAATTTTACCATTTTATTTTCTCCAAAAATAGTTTCTTATTTGGAGTAAAAACGTATTTAAGATGTTATTTTTCTTTTATTCTCAAACACCCCACTCCAAAAAACAGAACAAAATAAATAAATAAATAACCCAATAACGATGAGACGTTGCAACTTTACAATGTACAAGTTTATTTTTAATGAACTCTTCAGTGGTTGGTAGTCACAGCACAGCTTGCATGTATTAAGCCACACACCTATTTTACAAGAAAATGGGAAACGAAAAAAAAATTATAATAAAGAAAAAAAAAACAGAAGAAAAGTCTTAAACAGAGCGGACGACCATGAGTCCATCTGCAGCGACTTTTCTCTTCTTTTTACTAAAACATCCTTAAAAGGCCACTGAAATGCATAAAAATGTGTTTTTTTTCGATGCAAGAAATAATAAGTGACGATGTTCGGCTTTGTTCGACCCTCACATGGCATCGACAGTGCACATAGACGTTGGGTTATCGGCGATTTCTACGATATTTCTTTTACTCTTTAGTGACAACAGCTGGGCTATAATAATACTACAGCTTTAAGAAAAGGACAGCACTCTTCCATGATACTGAGTAAAGTGAAATGTAGTGAATGAAGCCATTATTTAATCTCACTATGAAGTGGGAAAAAAAACACTTATTTGGAAATTAGAGCACTGAACACCGCCAGGTCGAGAGACAAACGAGCGAGAGCGAGAGAGAGAGAGAGAGACGTAACTGTAACCAATGACTATATAAAAAAAGAAAATGATTTTATTAAAACACAACTTTTTTTTCTTCTCTGGAATTGGTATATTTTTAATAGTAGTAACAGACGGGAACCATAAACGCATGCCATGTGCTGGTCTCAAACAAATACATACAGGTATATACAGCATCACTCAGTACCTGCTAAAACAAAACAAAACAAAACAAAAAAAGGTGAGAGTATAAACTGACTACACTACAAACTTAAAAGAAAAAAAGGAGGAGGAGGAAGAAGAGGGAGAGTGATGATGGAAGCGGTGGGAGAAAAAAAAAGTTATTACTGATGATGGGGCCGATCGTAAAGCGTTTAAGAAAAAAAAAATCAAAAATAAAAATAATGCATATTGCACATACAGTGAAAGCCTAAACTCCACCAGGTCTGACAGGAGAATTTATTTTTCCACTAAAGCGAGAATTCAAATTTGTTTTTCCCTCTTGGAGGAAGATACAGGGAGAAATGAACAGGAAAAAAAGAAGAAGTGTGTGTGCATCAGTGATCAAAAAATATAGGAGGGAAATCTGAGGGGAACAGTGGCTCCTTTAGGAAGAAAACTGCACAGCACACGTTTATTTTTAAACAGGAAAATAAACAAACAAACAAAAAAAAGATTGTGGCACAAATAAAATCAGGTGCTGGATAATTTATGTTCTTCAGTGATTTCAGCTGAGGGAGGAGATAAAAAGGAGAAAAATAAAGAAGGAGGTGTATTTTTCTTTCTCTTTATGTACATCTAAGGCTTATTGGTTAAATAGTTTTCAGGCTCCGCCCCCTTCTGTGATGCTGTTACACCAGACGTTTGTTTTTCTTCATCCTCTCATTTTGTAAACCGAGTGACTCTACAGGGTCTGCAGACACACACCTGCACACGCAAACAAACACACACACACACAGTGGAGGTGGAGAAGGGTGGAGCAGGTCGGATGGCTGGATGGATGCTGCAGCAGTGGAGGTGACGGTGGGAGGAGCAAAAAGGCAAACAAAAAAAAACAGAAAAAAAAAGAGAAGGGCTTTTCTCGTCTCTGATGTCTTTTGCAATTAATATCTAAATGTGCAATTCCATTAGTCACTGCCGTGAGGGACAGGAGGGTGGAGGGGGGAGGGGGGAGGCAGGCGGTGGGTGAGGAAGAGGGTGAGGAGGAGGAAGAGGAGGTGGTTGTTCTACTTGGAAAGCTTGCTAATGACTCGAATGAGCGCTCCGTTCTCGTCTTTTAGTCTCTGGTTGTCGGCTTTCAAGTCCGGGAGCATCTGGAAGAGAGGAAACGAGGGAACAAGGGAGGGAGAAAGGGTGAGAGGGGAGGAAAGGTGAGAAGGAGCGAGCGAGAGAGAGATAATGAGAAGGTGGAAAAGGGGGAGAAGAAGAGAGCAAAATGACAGAAAATCAGATAATGGAAGCAAAAGAGAGAAACAAAAACATTAAGGCAAAAAAAAATTTGAATGAGCAAAAAAAGCATTTGAGTGAAAGTAAGAGCAAAAGAGACAGTAGGAGCAAAACAGGTGGGGAAAAAAAGAAAAATAAAATTCAAAAAGTAACAGAAAGGAGCAAAAGAGACAAAGAAGGGGCAAAAGAACAAGGGACGGGGAAAAAAAGAATAGTTATTAAACTGTTCAGGAACATACTTATGGAACAAAAGGTCAACTGCAGTCTAAAAAAGCAAAAACCACCATGGAGTCACACAGCATCACTTTTTGTTTTGCTCTTGCATTTTCTTTTTTAACTTTCTCTTTGGAAATAAAACCAAAATAATGGACAGGATCTGAGTCAGGAGAGAAAGTAAAGGCATCACACCACAGGCCAACACACTCCTGGAGAAGAAAACAAAGGCCATGCAGCAGAACAACAGCTGCTCAAACACAGCAGCAGCAGCAGCAGCAGCAACATCACAGTTCATTATTATCATTATAATTATATTCAACATATGTATAGATATTTGAAGTGTCAACAGCTGCTGCTGATGAGACGCCGCGGCTTCTAGCCGAGCGCGGCAGGTGTCAGGGAGCGTCTTCAAATGATATAATGATTGGAACTGATGTGTGGAATTAACGAAGACCGACAGCTTCATGTGTGCTCAGGCTGTGAAAACAACACAGCAGCAGCAGCAGATACTGAGGCTAGTCATGTACTGAAGCTGCACCACCTTAAAGATAAATACCATAAATAATTTTACAGTCACATCCTCTTTTCTTTCACGTACACACTTTAACCCTTTGGAGTAAGAACATATATTGTCGTAGATCAGGGAGGTCAAACTCATTTTCACCAGGGGCCACATCAGCAATAAAGTTCCCTTTGAAGGGCTGGTTGTAAATGGGAGACTGTATAGATCAGGGGTCCCCAACCCCTGGTCCGCGGACCAATACCAGTCTGCAGGTTATTTGGGCCGCAGTGGGACACTGAAAAAATGAACTTCATTCAAAGAAAATCCTGTCATATCCATTTACTTTCATTATTATTAAAAGATATTCTGGGAGTATTTTGAACTGTTTTCGTCACAAAGTTATGACAAGTTAATGACCTACCATCACCTTGGTCTGCACGGAGACAACCCACAGTTGATAGAACGGTATCTAGATGAGTTGAACATTCACTTCATCAGTGAAAACACTAAACATCAAGTTATTTATCTGGTAAACATGTTTCTAAGTGAATTATCAAGGAACATAATTGGGTTTTATTCCATGTTTTACAACAGCTGTGGACAAGCTGTGGCCCGCTGTCCAGACATGGGCTTTCTAATTGGTCAAACTTTAGTAGAAAGTGGTCCATCATGAAGTGAAGACTAATTTGTGTCTGAGCAGAGGTGAAAAACCACTAGAATGTTCCAGCCTCAAGACACTGACTGACCTCAGATCTGTGCAAGAATCCCCTCAACTGAACTGACACCAAACTTAAAGGCAATGACAACAACACTGTTCCCACTGACTTTAAAACCAGGCTTGTTTTTTTTACATTGTATTCATAATAGTTCACACCAACATTCTCCATTCATCTCATACTCTGCCCGGATGTTGAAAGTTAAAACTCAATGTTAGCCCACCTCTGTTTTAGGAGGTGGGCTAACTCCCAGAAAACATGCTTGAAAAATGTCAAAAAGTTTATCTTTTAAAAGTAGAATTTGGATTTAAAAAATACTCTTAAAGTGACTTTTCTTTTTTAATGTCAGAAACAGCCTCAAACGCAACTTCATGCAAAGAAGCCAGACCAAGCCAAACTGAAGAACAACAGCTCCCTCTGAGAGAAATCTGCAGCCAGGACACTTTCCTTTACTGCACCCTGCTGGACTGATGGTGAACAACACCCACTGTCCAAGACCCAATAAAGCCAAACTATACTCTAGCCTTAATACTAAAGTCTGAGATCATTGTTCTGTAAGTTTCTAACACAGTTGTACTGTAAGAGGAAAGTGTACTGCTGTAGAAAAAAAACAAACAAACCAAATAAAAACATTCTCCCCAATATGAACACCAACAGCTGTGGGGAGGCAGAGGGAGCAGAAACCAGGGGAGAGTTCTACAAAACCAATGAAGTGTGGGCGGCTGGGCACCTGCCTGTCTATGGGTGAGGGGCAGAGCACTAATGGAAGCATGAGAAGAATGAGGGCGTGGGGAGGAAAAGGGTGAGGAAGAGGGAGGAGATGGTGGTGGTGGACAGACGGACGTGGCTTAGAGGTCGACGCTGGGCAGCCGGCTGCAGGCGGACTGCGAGAGCTTGGCCACCACCCGGGCCAGGGCCCGGTTCTCAGCCTGCAGCCGCTCCTTAACCTGCCGCAGGGCCTGAACCTGCTTTACCTGGGGGAGGTTCTGCAGGGGAGGGGATGAGGAAGTGGGAGGAGGAGAGAGAAGGAGGGGAGGGGGGACACAACCACAACACAGGGGAGACAGAGAGACAGGACAGGAGTGAAGGAATGACAGGGAGAACAGGAAGTCAAAATAAGACGGGATTAATGAAGGACGGGAACGTTTGAAGGAAGAGGACGAGGAGGAAGAAGAGGAAGAGAGCAGAAATATTGTTAGAATCTAGGGACCGACTACAAGTGGGCGACTCAGGGGCAGTGACAGCTGACTTTGATTTTATTTACTTCGTCTTTAGACTTCATCTGAATTTAGTAAATACATCACTTTGAATTTTAAGTCAACAAAATATCAACTTATTTTTAGATAATTAAAGAGAAATGTGTTATTTTTAAATTTATTAAAACAAAGTTTATTAAACAGCTCATAAAATACTTTATGGACATTTAAAGCATTATTATGTCCCGCCTACTAAACAAATAAACACTGCTGATTGGCCCTCATTTGCTCCTTATGTTGATTGAACCTACTAAAAGTCAACTAATAAAATAATTTCATTGTACTCATTTAGCTCAACAACTAAATAACGTCCTGTTAAGTTTATCGTTTAGTTTGATCCTGGAAAATAAAGTCAAACACTTAGTCTCTGTGGAAAACTTGGTTATAAAGGTTGGACACACTGCTAAAGAGTGAGGCAGAAAAGATCGACTCTAAAAACTAAACCTTAAATGACTTCCAACAGAGGTGCATTTAATTGAGCGTCAGAGCGAGAGGGATTAAAGATGAAAAGATCTGATCTGAGCTCAGGCCTGATCTGAGATCAGATCTTTTAATCTAGTCCATTAGAGTTGAGCCGAGCAGAGTGAGGTCTGGAATTTTAGTTGTAGGACAAAAGTTTGGACGTAAGATTATACAGTGGCATATTTATTTTATAGGAATTAATTTGACAGGATATATATTATTAACGTTATTAATAAGATTGTTTGTAAAAATCTGTAGTGTAGGAGATAGACGAGGATAACTTTGAAGAGAAGACAATTAGTTAAAATGACAACATTTAAAACTTCCTTTATATTATGTCTTAAACCATGAGGACAGACTGGTCCAGGGTTCAACAGTTTCCTACAGTTAGACTGAAAAACCTCCACTGAACAGCAGTTAAAGAACACCACGTCCTACTCATCACATATATATGTGTTCATATTTATGGATACGTTTGGTTTTGTTTGTCACTAAGACATAAGAAGAGTTCAACACGAATAACAAACACAAATCTGAATTTGAACAATTTGGCCTGAAATCTAATCAAAACTTTTGCCAAAAAAAGCTCAAAGAAAACAAACAAGATTAGATTAAACTATTGAAGATATTACAGAATTAACCAAAGGTTAGTTACAAACAGCTGGAATGAAAATTATGAGCAGCCAGAAAATAATAGATGGCAACTGACTAAAAATAATACAAGTTCACCTTCAAGTTACAGCCCTGTGACTAAAGACTACAGTAGCTAATAGTGGTGAAGGGAGTAAAAAAGTCTATTTTAGAGCAAAAATACAATATAAAAAGTGTGAAAAATGCTTCTGTGACAAAATGTGATAAAAAAAAAAAACATTTACTTTGTAAAGTTACAAAGAGACAAAGTCACAGCGACAAAGACGTAACTGAAATGGATTGACAACAGGAGTGGCATCATGCAGGTGTGTGTGTGTGTGTGTGTGTGTGTGTGTGTGTGTGAGGCTGGTTACCTTAAGTTCCTCCTCCATCTCAGAAATCTTCCTTTCCAGAGCTCTTCTTTCCTGCAGGACGGAGGACAGCAGGTTGAGTGTTAACAAGTCGTCCAAACACACAGAAAACACACCTGTCAAAGTGCAGGTTTTACACACTGCAGTAAAGGAAGAGGAGTGTGTGAGGTGATGAAGGTGCTGTGACACACACACACGCGCGCAAACACACACGTGTACATGTTTGGTGAGGCGTCTGCGAGCAACAGCCAGATGACGCTTCCAAAAATGCAGTGAGGAATCAGTGGACGGTATTTTAGAAAATAATGTGTAAAATAATAGATGTGGCCCAACTGTTGACATGTGGACAGATACAGGTCATAGGGATAATTAGTAAAAAATATATATATATATATTCTGAACACATAATGAAAAATCTAAATTCACAAAATATATTTTGTATTATATTATATATATTTATATTTTGTTTTCTATTTATTTTTATCTTTTGCTTTGTTTGTGCCTGAAACGTAGCAAGATTAGCTAAAGAAAAAGAAAATCTGCCAAGAAGAATAATAGTTGGCCAAAAATATCCATACATTCTACATTTATAGTCAGAATGAGCAAGAAGTATAGCTAACAGTTAACCAACACTAGCAGCAAACCTTAAAGCCATCAAAATTAGCCCAAGGCAATCGTTATATAGCTTTTGGCTAACTTTTAGCCAATGCAGGTTTTCATGGTTTGACAGGTTTGTCAAAAGTCTTTAGTCATTTTTGGTAAACACAGGTGTTTTTAAATATGCTACAGATTATGGCATGGATTTGAAATCAGTGGATTAAGGTCATTAATCCAGAGATGATGATGTCACGGCTGCTCAGCTGCAGACGCCAGCATGATTAACTGTACGAGCCAGTAAATAAAATAAATAAATTAAGGACTGCATGAAGACACACGTGCACTCATTTTGGTAACACCCTAACAAACCAAACACACACACACACACACAATAACTAAAGCCATCCTGAGTGCTGACTAGACGCTGCTGCTGAGGTTTAAAAACATAAGAATTAACAGGTGAGAGAGAGGGTGGCGTTGTTCTGGGTGGAGAAGCTTGAGGACGTTCTTCTTGAACCTCAGAAGCTCAAAGACCAGAGTGACAAAACAGGCAGCGGCAGAGAGGAGCGGGGGAGAGAAGGAGAGTAAACACAGACAGTGATGGAGAAACTGAGGGGAAGATCATACCACCACCCAGATGATAGTGGGGCCTGCTTGTTACCTTCAGACAGTAACACAGTCTCAGTGTTACCTTCAGGTCTACATTTCCTTTACTTTTATTTATTTTACTTGAGAAGGACAAAGGTTTAGTATAATGTCTTATTTAGGATATTAATGTTAATAAAGACAGGTTCAACAGGACTGGTGTTAGTGAAGGCGTCTTTACCCTTTTCTCCATCTCAAGCTGTGATCGGTCGGCGTAACGTTCCTGCCGCTGCAAAAAAAAAAAAAAAATTACTTTGTGCTAGAATTCCAGTAAAAATATTTCCTGATGCTAGCCTGTGTCCATTAGCACAAACGTAACCAAAAAATTGCTAAATGTAGCAGTATATCATATAAATGACCTTAGAAATTGTTGAACAAAAATACAGACAAGTTAGCCAAGTTAAAACTACCAACTAAAGGTTAGCTTTAGGAAAAAAAATGGAGTCAAATACACAGAAAATTGCTAGCATTAATTCAGACCAATCACAAGGTAACAAGCGTTGATCAAATTACCCCCAATATCAACAAACCCAAAGAGTAAACAAAAAACAAAACAAAAAGGAGAATTTTAACAGTAAATACCTGTGTGGCCTTGGTAAACAAAACAAAAAGGAGATTTTTAACAGTAAATACCTGTGTGGCCTTCTCTAGTTGTAGCTTCAAGTCTGCCAGCTCCAGGTCTGTGTCACGTAACTGAGCCTTCAACTTCTCATTCTCAGCTAAAATCTGTTCATAGAGCTGAGGACACGGGTGAGTCAACATGTGCTGCATTGGTTTTCTCCCCCAACTCCAATTTAATCCCAACTATGAGACGGAATAAAAACCTCACCTTCTTATAGTCTGTGGTGTCGTCTCGGTCCAGTCGGCTGGAGTAGGGCCTTCGACCCTCACCGTAGCTACGGCTAAAGAGAGTGTCGTTACGATCTAAGGACGAAATGCTCTCATTCCTGCAAAAACAAAGAAGCTTTGTTTAGTCGCTTGGAAGTGACGTGAAGATGGAGCGTCGTAAAGAAGAGAGGACACCGTACCTGGACAATCTGTCACTCTGTAACGGGGGAAAAGAAGAGAGGTTAATAAGGTTTTATGATATAATATCATGAACTGACTGACAATCATTGATCATTTCTGTTTTCCTATTAGAAAATAAGAAATATATGATGAATAATAACATGATCACCCCTTAGGGCCAGTTCTGACAGAAATATATGATGAATAATAACATGATTTGTCTGAACAAACAAAAAAAAAGTCTTTTTAGTCATTTTATTTTCATATTCTGCAGGTGTTTCATTAAATTGACATTTTGGTGAACTGCTCTGCTCTTTGAATTTTTGGTTAGCTTAACTGAACTGACTGGAACATGTTGATCAACTGTGGTTTCTCATGAAACCAACCAGTTCTGCTGGAGGTTCGTGGCGTCTGTTCCGTCCTCCAGGAAGACAAACTTATCACCTCCTTCCTGAGACTTCTCAGCTCCAACTTTATTCACATTAAACTTCAGACGACTGGAAGCTGAAACCTGTCTCTTACTGACTGCTTCCTGATCAAACAGGAAGTTCCAGCCCAGCAATAATATTTAGAGACACTGGTCTACTGACTGTTTTTATGTCTGTAAACCTGCCGTCCTGCTCAATGCAGGTGACATTTACATTCTGGTGCGGGCTAATTTCAATGACGCCCCCTGTGACCCTGGTTCTCCTGCTCTTGAATGTTTTGAAAAGCTAATGATCCACGGCAAAGTCAACTTTTCTTTCCAGCATTTACAGAGTCGACCCAGACATGGAGACAATGAGCGGAAGACGGAAGCCATAAAAAGTGAAAGAGTACAGACGAAGGAGACGGGAGCGATAAGAAAGAGGAAATCATGACCCCTGCAGGAAGAGAGGTTAGGCTTGAATGATCCGAGGAGCCCACACGACGGGAGAGAAGAATAGAAGTATCAGAGGAAATGTGGACAAATCAAAGGTAAGAGCTGGTTGATTTGTCCAGAGGGTTAGTACTTTGATCTCTTTCTCTGCTCCGTCATTCATTCTGTACCTGTGTCTCCCCCTTGGTGCTGCTCTCCTCAGAGTCTGACTGTTGATCAGGGTCATTTTCATCACCCTGGATGAGGAAAAAGCAGAACAGACAGAAGTGTCGCAGGTGATTTACAATAAAAAACGATGAATAAGGAGCAGACGTGGTGATGGGATTTTTAACTCCTTGTCCTCTAAAGTGTCCTTGTGAGAGTGTCACTTACGTCCTGGGTCCAGAAGGAAACTCCAGTGGAGCGTCTCTTCTCACGGGGCCGCCTGCGATCCCGTATGGAGCGGGGCTGAGACTTGTCCTCTCCCTCCTTCTCCTCTTCCTTTTTCTCAGTTTCTGAACATCCAAGTAATAGAGAAAACAGAGAAACACAGAACAGAACAATGACTCCAAATGACACCAAGTATCTGCTATTTATCTACATATCATATACGGATGAAGCTGTGGAAGACAGGGCTGTCGAAGGACATGAACTGCATGGGAATCTAATATAGAACAACAATAATGAAAGCATCCAAATAAGAATTTTTTTTAATTGTCTTGCTAATTGAATTCCTAATATTTAACATGAAACTACATAAAAATATACATATATTCACAAACATATATATATATATATAATATATACACAGATATGTATACATACATATACCTATAAAAACACACTACTATACATACATATATAAAATAGTATATATACTAAATACATAACATATTTTTATTAAATGGCATTATATAAGATTATATCACACTGTATTATAGTATAATTTGTATTAGCTAATATTATACTTTTACATTTTATTACTATTGTATATTTTATTTTATATTATCTAACTGATATTTATAACAAGTCTTGCCATGTTTTAATTGCATCAAGCCAAGTCTGGAAAGATCCAGATGGATTAGGCTAAGGCCGTGACTATAACTGGAGTTCGTAGAAAGAGAGGAGATTTTGGTCGTCTAAGAACAAAGCCGTCAGTGTTTCCTTTAGCCGAACAGACCCGAGCTTTTGTCTATTTTCCCAGGGTTGTTACACAGATTTCTGTTCAGACAACACAATCCCTCCATGTCTCCGTGATCTTAATCAGCCTGTGGCAGTTTGCCAGCGTGAGTGTTGATCTGTGGTGACAGGAAACAGCAGCAGGTGCAATTAAAGCTACTGTGGGAAGGAGGTAACATTTTACCCTCAGGTTTTAAAGGAGATTTACAAAATTCAAAAGTTGTTGGTTGTGAGTAAAATTACTGACAAGTGGAACAAAAACAAATCTCCTGTAAGTGCCGATAAAATGACAGTGTATGTTGTTTGTCCGCTGTTAGCAAGCAAGCAAGTCAACCTCATTTACTTTCTTTTTCAGTTTGACCTTTTACTGACCTTTTTCTGCATCTCTAGACGAACGGCTGTAGGAGGAGGTGATCCCTGTCAGGCTGTTGGGCCTGTTGAGGGAGCTAGAACTGCTGGACAAGGTGGTACTAGAGTAGGACGGGGTGGACGCAGTGCTGAGTGTGGAAATCGAAGGGACGGAGGCGGAAGACGATGTTCGGTAGCGCTAAGGAAATTGAGAGGATGGGTAAGATGGACGTTGGAGATATAGACGACTGTGATCCTGCGGACGTGTCATGACTTACCTCTTCAAAGCTGCGGTACCTTGATCGGTAATCGTCCTCCTTGGTCTCCGTCTCCCTCTTCTCCTCCTGCTTTTCCTTGTCCTGCTTTTCCTTCTCCTCCTTCTCCTCTTCGCGGGTCTTCATGGGACGGCTGCGGCCTATCGTTTTCTCGGCCTCCTGCAGGTCGGTCAGCGTCACGCCCTGGAGGATGCAGGAGAGGAATAATAAACATCTGGACGAGGAAACGGTTGCTATGGTGACATTTATTACAACAGCGTTAATATTCACAACGACTCGGCGTGTTCAGAGGTCGGTCGTCACAGCCAAGGCTCAGTTAGCTTGTAAAGTCATCACTTATTTGTACTAGCGTAGATGTTAAGTGCAACCAGTGTACACAAACCAAACGGTCTCATCCAATTAAACACTACAGGTCCATAAATGCATCCTTTACACAGGGCTGCTGACAGGACGCTGTGTTAGGACATAGAACATGTGACCTTTGAAGGTTGTAAATGGAAGAAAAAAAATGAAAGCAGAGGGACTGACCTGGGTGGACCTTCTGGACTGTCGAGCCTGCCTGGAGCGAGCTTTCCTCTGAGACTCCGACTCCTCGTCGCGCACTGGTGTCAAGTATGACCTGTGACAGACAGAAAGGAGAGAGACACGAGGTTAATGAAATGACAACAGCAGCAGAACATTAATCACCAGAATTAGAAGGAGTCAAGTCATGGCAATTTTAACAAGTTTATCGAGGCCTGTCCTTACTCTACAGACACATGAGCTACAGATGTTAAATAAATGAAACTCTGCTCAAAATATTGTCAAAAAATTGTCACCATTGGAACCACGGAAAGTACCAGGAACTACTTTTCAACCTCTGCAGGAAGTAAAAAGGCACTCCTCCTAAAGCCATCTGGTACTGATGGACTCTGCCTCAAAAACCAAGGCTCCAGAGAGAAACCAGTAACAAATCTGGTAACATTTCTCACCATGACACAGACCTACAGTCATTTACATGATACTAAGATATGGAATTTTCAAAGGTAGAAAGCTACGATGAGAAGAACTGTTGCTCTTTGATTTTTATTTACTTCATGTTCTTGAACTTTCCCTCAGTGATGCTCGGTTGTGTCGGCCACTTGTGAACCTATTCACCGCAGAGTGGAAGAAAAATGTTTAGCTTCTGTCCACCTTCCTTATAAGGACATGTCTGTGGAACAGTTGAGGCTGTTCCAACAGTGCAGCCTCACTCCCCCCAAGACAGGTGGCTCATTTCAGCAAGGCAGCAGGAAGACACACACTCGACCCCACTCATACATGCACGCACACACAGGCGCAAGTGACACATAAACAGACTACACACTATTGGTGTGTGTGTGTGTCTGCAAAGTCGCATATTGCACAAACACTTTTCTCAAACACAGGAAACATCTGATTTATGTTAAGGGGACAACGTTTTGTGGGCGGTGGGATAGGGTATATGGTTCAAAATATTTTTTCAGATGTCAATCATGTTGGATTAAAAACATAAACTGAATTAAAAGTATAAAGACTGTGGTGGTAAACCTGTTAAATCATGTCTTTAATTAGAGGAAGAAACAGCATAAAACTTGGAAAATATAATGTGTTACCTGCGTCGTTCAGGGCCGGTGCCAGTGGTGGTGGTAGCAGCGGTGAACACAGGCGTGCTGCTAATGGTGGACGTGGTGGTCGTAGTAGAGCCAGTGTTTATAGTGGGGATGACGGCAGCAGACTCCTTCTCCTTGTCTCGGTCTGCACCCTCCTCTGACCAGTACCTGTACACACACACACATACACATACGGAGGAGATCAGATTTACATATAGAACGATAGCAGCTGATAATGGAGATGGTGATGAACATCTTCGTCTCTACCTGCTGGTGAGACTGGTGGAGCCAGTCCGTGATAAGGAGGAGCCTAGGCTGGAGAGCAGGCCACGGTGGCCTGTGGGCGAGGTAACAGATGAGGAGGTGGTGGTGGTCGTCGAGGAGGAGGTGGCGGTCGATGTAGTTGAGGAGCTCAGGTCTTCGTGTCGTCTGCCGAAAGAGCCGCTGTAGGATTTTTGGAATAAAAGACAGAATTATAATTCAGATAAAAAAACACCAGTGAGAAAAGTGGAATGAATGGGAAACGTGTTTCCAGCCTGAGACGCAGCTTTATTATTTTGGTTGTTTTGTCTCCATACATACATTATTAAACTTTATTTTAAAAAACTAAACAAACTGTCATTATTGTCATTTCTGAGAACTCTTCATTGTTACTGGGAACATTTTAGCCTTTTGGCTAACATTATATGAACAATATTTACCTTTACCGCCTAATACTTGATGGACTAAGGGCTAGCTTTTTAAAAATTTCTACATGGCACTTTCTCCAGAACGACTTTCATGTTCAGTTAGCTTGCGTGGCCTACTACTGACATATTTTGCTATAAATTAGGCTACATTTACACTTTTAATTTTTGCTCCCTTAGGGCCAGTTCTGACATGTCTCCAACTTTGAGCAAATTTGCACAATTTAGCATCATTGCTAATAAAGACTTATCCTGTTTTTCTTGTTTCTTATTTTTCTTGTTACTATTTTTATCCCATTCGTCTTGATGATTTCTTTTTGTACTTTTCTGTGTTTTGCCCTTTCCACTTGTCTCATAGAAAGTGAATTATAAATAAATATTGATTTTAAAGTCGTCTTTATTTAGATCCCCGTTTGGAAAGTAAGTCCTGTGATCTATCTCCCAAAAATCTTTTAAGAGTTCAATAACAATGCAGAAAAACAAATGGAGGATACACACGCACATACATACACAAAGAGACATCAGAGACACACACAGATAAAGGAGACAGGGGAGTGTGTGGCTGAGGCTGGTGTACCTGCGGTAAATGCTGTAAGACAGGTAGTGGGAGGCGGGCGGCTGCCAGGGTTTAGTATGACAGGTGTTAGGGTCCAAGCTGGAGGTGGACGAAGACTTGGCCGGCACGTCCCGCGTGCTGCCGCTCCGCCCTAGCGCTAGCGTGTGGGACGTGCTGATGTGTTTGCAGGCGGGTGGGCAAGAGAGGCGAGTTAGCGGTGGAGGTGCACGCACATAAACACACGCACACACAAACATGTTCAAGACTAGCGCATTGACACTACTGGTGTGAAGTTCAGCTGATACAGCAATAGGTAAAAGCTAATGAGTAAATGAGTTTGTCAAACTTTTTTTCTTTTTACATTTTTAAAAGATAATATATCCCTGTCTACCAGAGACTGCGTACATACAAGTTCTCATTAAATACACATACAAACGTTAGCTAAAATACAGCCATAGACCAGACAGGATTTCAATTCACAGTATGAATTAAAGCTACTGTCTGTGATTCCGGTCTATAACTGCTGTCAGTTTTACCCAATTTTATTTCCCCGAAAGCACACTTCCAATTCTGATTCTAAGACTAATTATTACCTTAGACTCATGACAGCTGTTGACAAAGTCACCTGTACCTTATATTTAAAAAAAAATCTCTCTTAACATCTAAAAAATGTCCAGTTTTTCAGACTATATGACATGAGAGGAAGCGAAGTGAGTCCAGGTCTAGGTTTTTATGCCACAAACTAACTGACAGCTGAGTGTTCAGCCTTGTTAAAATGCCTGACTAATGATTTAGACTCAGTGGCACCAAAACCTGACAGGACAGGTACAGTCATGCAGTGAGGGACCAGGGGGAAAAAGCGCTGGGACTGATTTGCATGGTTTTCTCGGCAGCTGCTGCCGTGCAACAAAGCGTGAACTGACATAAATCTCTGATGACATAATGCAAGCTCAATGGTGTGTACTCCAACATCAGTGGTTCGTTTCCCAAGCTGTGCAAATGTGGAGACAGGAGATGAGACTGACCTGCGCTGGTAGCTGGAGGTCCGGTTGGAGGAGGTGCTTCCGTCGCTGTTCTTCAGGTCGTCGTCCCAGCGTCGTCGGGTGTAGGATCCGCTACGAATCAGAGCAGTAGAGTCCCTAAAAAACACACACACACACAAGCTGGAATAGCACCCTAGGTTTCAACACACAATGACAATGAATTTTAACCAGGAACCAAGTGACCCTTGTGAGTGAAAAGGAACAGAGAGGAGACAAGAAGAGAGGTGGTAGAGAGTGCAGAAGTCAAAGTAAAGGCATGAGGACTGATATCTTCTTTGGAGCAGTGTTTACAGGATGCTAAAAGTTTAGGGCAGTGGTGGCAATACTTAAGAATCAACAGGCTAACAAAAAAGTGTGCTAGTCAAGGAGATGAGGCAAGTAGACAGAAATACTGACAGGAGAGAAAGGATAATGGTAATTAGAGAACTAAATAGAAAACTCTGGGTTCTACCTGTTTTCCTTCTCATCAATGTCTGAAGTGCTGGCCAGTCTCCTGGGGATGGTCGGAGCTACGTAGGCCAATCGTGTTCCTTTGTCCTTTTCCTGTAGTCACAGTTTAAGAAGACCAGAGTTATGTTTGTTTTTTTACTTCTCAGTAACAGAACAACTGATCTGTTAATATGAGGTGACAATGAAGACCATGTGGAGTCATCAAAAGGACACAGTTGACAGTTAGAAAGAACGTCTAAAACTGACAAAATAACAGCATCACAACATAGTCTCATTCTCTGAATGAGGTTAACAATAACAGAAGAAAGAACTCTTCCAATTAGTGCAGATATTGCAAGAAAACATTTTCTTCCTCCAACAGAGTAAAAACTGGTAAAAATGAATACCTTTTCCACTGACAATCTAACAAATGACTTTGAATTTTCCATTGAATTTTGACTTTTTTAAAAACATTTTTGGCTAAAGTAGTAAACACATTCAACCATTCTTTATGTCCAGTGTTGTTTTTGCTGTTACTGTTTCTGTGTAAGTTGGACTGAGTGAACCCGACACCACCCTGCAGACCGACATCACTTCCCCGTCCCTTTTAAAATTGTTGGCTACAAATTAGTAAAGACAACAGTGGCTGCCAACCCCCACCTTTTCTTTGTCCTTGTTGTCCAGAGACGAGGAGAGACGAGGGCTGGAGGCTGAACGCATCACCCCGGTCGTGTCCTTCTCCCTCTGAGCCTCCTTGGTGGCTGTGATCTCCGCTAACGCACCGTAGCTGCCCGTCTTTCTCAACCCCAGACGCCAAGAGGCCGGGGACTCGTCCTTCCTCTCGTCTTCTACCTTAGTGGAGACCTTTGCAGCAGTTTGAGCCACCTGAGGGAGAGAACGGAGCCCTGATTTGAGAATCAGACACTTACATTGACAGTTATGAAGATGTTTACTGGGTCTTAGTTATATTATGAAGTTACTCCAGTTTATTTAGCTCAAAACAGTAGTAGAGGAGCAGCTCAAACATCACGTTCAGGGTTTTGATGGTAAGAACAGGAAGGTATTTTAAAAAGGAAGGACATGCCAGTTAAAAAAAGGGCAATCACATCAAAATGAGTTTATCCTAATGCTATGTCTCCACAACTTCAGCTGTAACAGGTCTCAACAACGTTTGGTAAAGGCTGGTTCAAAAGGTTGGGTCTTCAGGGTCCACTTCATACCACATTTATCCACAAAAAACACACAAACACGGGGTGAGAGCACATATAGAGCGGTGCGTCACGGTGCAAACACAATGTCAGGTTGATGAGTGAAAGCCAGTGGAACTGGATCAAACCGGGACGTAGGTAAGGGAGGTGTTAAGGTGCACGGTTGTGTGTATGTGTGTGTAGGATGTGAACAACAACTCTGGTGCACACCGATGCCTCACCATGGGTTTTTTGGGCCCTAGAGAAATGCCAGTTTTGCGCAAGCCTTGACGCCACAAGGCAGGACAGCCTGGCTCCGCCACAGGCATGAGGGGAGTAATATATTCAAACTAAAGCCAAACATACCAGAAAGGATGCCGAGATACAGAGAACAAGGGAGTGAGGGCAGGTGAAAGAGAAAAAAAAAAAGCCAGAACATGAGATAAGCAGCAGCAGCAGCAGCAAAAGAAACACACTTTACAGCAGAAGCAGGTTTCTAACAGGCCTAGTCACACAACACAATGCTTACTGCCAAACCACGGTGGAGGCTGCTAAAAGCTGGAGTAAGTATCAGACCCAACAAGCGTCTGGTAGTGTCAAAACTGGTTAAGGTTTTGTTAGACAGAAGACATTGTGATGTGTGAGCGCTAGGCTTTAGGAGCCTCCATAAATACAAAAAGATGACTGGAGGAAAAGGAGCAGAATAAAAGACAAAGGCATTCAGGAAACCTGAAAGCAAAGGTTTCAGGGAGTGTTTTTAAAAAAATACCTTTCTGAGCAGAACGATGACGCAAAAGTGTTTTTATATGTGACGTGTGTGAACATTGTCTTACCAAAGCAGGCGTCATGTTTTCATTGAAATTTGTCAGATTTCTACATACATATACACATATTTACATACTAGGGCTTTCACAGTTAACATTTAATTTCACAATGATATTTTGACGTTGATCATGTTTTTAGCTCGTGTTTTTCTCTATCAAAACATTCAACAGAAAACGTTTGTCACTGCTGTTAAAAAATGTTGAGTTGCATTCCCTAATCTTTCCAGCAGATGGCAGCAGATGTATAAAAAAGACACCTTACCTCCTTCACCATCATATAATGAAAACATGGCATAATACACCAAACCTTTAATTCGATACTGAGTCACTAGACTGCAGAAAATGCTTACGTCTGTATCTCAAAACTAAAATCCCTGAGGTATAATTTTTTTTAAATTCTAGTTCTCTGTCACAGGAGAAAATAAAATAACTCATAAAATTAGCTAACTTAAAAAAATATATTTAGGTATATAATAAGCTGTCAACCGATGAAGCAATCATTAACCCGTGATCTCACTGTTGCGGTCATCTCCACAGCGACATCTTGTGGCTATTGGTGTCATTACAGACATTATTACTTTTACTCCTCACATCAAATATGTGGGCTACCATGTCTAACAAATGTCAGTGATGATGAATTTCCCCCTTGAGCTAGATGTGACATTTATTATCTCTGTGCTGTAGGTGCGACAGAAAAACCTGTAACATTAATAACAGCAGTAACGCAGCGTGAGGTGTGACGGCCTGGAGACTGAGCAGCAAAGCTATTAATGTTGTGTGGTAAAAAAACCCTGAATCTTTCATCAACCGTGAAATAAGATTTGTGTTTACACAGGAGGTGCAGTTCATACTCAACGGTGCTTCATAACTTCCAAGTAAAATGTGTTTTGTTGTTTGTTTTGACATGTCAGTACTCCAACAGCTCTGTGGGGAGATGGAGAAGAGCGTACCTTCTTCACAGGAGATGTTGGAGTGGTCGCCTGGTTTGTGGGACTCGATGGAGACGTCACGGTGATGCTCGTGGAGATGGGCGTCGTGCTGTTGCTCACTGCAGTGGGAGGTTTGCTCTTGTCTGCAGGAGTTGAAGAGAAAATAGAAAATAAACTTACTGGGTCTGTGCTGCCACTGACTAAGCATTTACAGAATGTCCATCAATGACATAAATGGTAAGGGACCAGTGGTTTCCAAAATAGGGGGCGGAACCTATTGCAGGGTCAGAACTTACTGTGATCAGAGACTTATTTTCTGCTTCTGTTCTGTAACAGTATATATGGATGAATATATGTGTTGACTTGGAGGGTCCAACATTAGTCCTAATGGGGCAATAAGATGTCACTGCAAAAACCAAGGTCTAGAAGCACTGCTATTGATTGATATTTATAGGAATTAAATGATGCACAATTAGGCAAAGGAATGGTCATCTTAGGTCAAAATGACCTCTGATCATCTAGTCTTATTCATGTCAAAAGAACCTGAACTGAACAATTTTATCACCCCCTTTTCAGTTCCCTAATTTTTTGGCACAATGTTGACTCTGACTGACACCCTGTGGCCTGTAGGTGGCGGTACTAAAAGGCAACTGGACGGTTTTGGCTTCTAGAAGACGTTTCATCCAAGAGGTTTCTTCAGGTCGTGCCTTTTAGATAAAAGGTGAAACATCTCGAAGAACCAGGGCAGTCCAGTTGCCTTTTAACCACGTTAACTGCTTTGGAGCTTAAAGACACCATCCTCACAGTAAAACACACAGGTGGGGAGAGGAACCTTTACCCAGCAACCCCTGATCTTCATCTGTGGTGAACGGAAACAGTTGGTCTGAACACAGCACCTGCTTCATTCTCTGATTCTGAATCTTCTTCCTCCTCTTCCTCACTGGAGCAGCTGGATTCGTCCTTCTTCCCTTCTTCTTCTTCATCCACCTTCTCTGGTTCTAAGGTCTCGATGCGTGGGGCCGTCTTCTCCGGCTCCAGGAGCATCGTTTCTTTGCTGGGAAACACAAAATTACCACTACATCGTCACAAAACATCACAAAACTCAAAGACTTGTTCAGACAGTCATGATGTCTTTTTTCTTTTTTTCTTTACCTCTTCAGTGGTTTCAGTGACTGGTTGTTGTCTCCAGTGGTTGTTGTTTCAATTAAAGGAGAAATCTTTTCATCTTTCTTCTCGCTCAACAGCTGCAATTGAAAAAATAATTTAGTATTTTCAGAATTTTGACCTGTCAATGAATTTAGATACTGATTGGTGATAATAGCCTGGCTGTCTAAGGGAGTTCCAAAAGTGGGTTTTATTTGTATTTGGTCTTAGATATGAATGTGTGAATCTCACCAGATTCTGTTTCTTTTGTAGTTCTTCTAAGTATCCCAGGACGTCTTCATCTGCTACGTCAAACGCCGTCTGGCCCTGGGTGGAAAAACAGAAAAAAAGTCTAATTTAATTTGTGCTGCTTTTTTATAACAGGACTCAAAAGAGAAGGGCATTCACCATTTTATTCATGAGGTCCATGTCACATAGATGCTCCACCAGTATCCTACAGGCCTCCTCTTTGCCCCAGTGTGCTGCTGCGTGTAGAGGCGACCAGCCGTCGTAGTCTTTAATATTTACATCATACCCTGATTGGAGTAAAAGCCTGCAACAGACAAGTACACATGGTTAAAATGGAGACATTCTCTAAGGTTTTAGATGTTTTTTGTTGGTATAATTGTGTTTGGTCAACAGCAAGACATCCCCGGGCACGGAAAGAAAGAAAATCATCACATTATGACCAATAAATCCGCAGTGACGGAGGGAATCTTGAGATCCCTGCCCCCGTTTTTAGTCTTGACTGAGAATCTGTGACATCTCAGATCTATCTATGGCAGCATAGCATGTTGGCAGCTGTCCCGCAGCAGATGGGCAGACGGCTGCAGCTCCGTCCTCCAACAGTTCGAACAGAACATACAGAGAGAGAAACAATGTTGGAACAAAGTGCTGACGAGACGCAGAGACAGAAACATATCCTTGACGTCGGAGAAGAAATTCCTCGAGCCTGGCCTCACCACTGTCCTGACTATAAACAGTATTCATATACTGTAAGTGACGGGCTGGCTTTTATGTAACAGGCCATAAACGCAGCGGCCGTTGGCTTTGAAAGTGGAGCAGCAACGGCTGCATACATACAGTATTTTCTGTTGATAGATTCAAAGAGTTTCCAGGGATTAAATAATAAAAATTGTTAACACCTGATAGTTTAGGCCAATATAACTAACCCTTTGAACCTTACATTACCCGGGCAACAAAACAATTTTTTTATTGTATATACATCTCTCAAAAAGTCACGTAAATCACATGTATGTTATTTTTATCTGTCTGTTTTGATCAGATAGCAGGAGAAATGGCAGATCTTTGAGGCATGAATACTTAATTAAATTATTTGACATGTGACTTTTGTAGATTAAAACAACATCCACTGCTTACTTTAACACTTCAACGTAACCCTTAGCGGCGGCGACGTGAAGCGCTGTCCCTCCAGATTTGGCGTGCCGGACATCTTGGATTTGGCCACTGTTGAGCCACTGCCGGGCGTCCCGCAGCATCACACGCTCCTCCTCTTTCCGGGCGGCCTCAATGTCCACCCCTGAGAGGACAGGGGAGATGGAGACAAAGGCAAGAGTGACATCCAAGTTTCCAGCTGTAACACTGAACTGAAGAGACAGAGCTGAATAGAATATTTGTCATGAGTTTGTCTTACGCCTGCACTGAGGTATGTGAATGTTTGGAATACGCTGCATTAGTTTGTGACTGTGGATTACAGTGGACAGCGGTGAAAATATTCCAGCACATAGCAATGACACGGAGCCTGGTGTCTGTGAATCCTGCTGTGACAACGTAGCAACGATGACGACTCAGTTACATAACCTGCAAACCACTCACCCTGCGCCTTCATTAAACCAGGAATTAGAGCCATTTACTGAGAAACAGGCACAGCCACGTACTGCTAATATCTCTCAACACTAGAGGGTGCTGTTTACTCCTTCTCATTCTGCTATGGTATAGCAGTTTTGCAGCCAATGTTCTGTCAATTCGACAAAGAATTAAGGTCTGCAAACACAGAGAGGCCACAGCCAGTTAAGTGGGTCAATATGTCTGAGCTATAGACTGGATGCCTGGCAGAAGAAAAAACAGCCCCACGCCGTCTCATCAACACCTGGTTGGAATATGAGATGGTCTGAGACGCGCGGCTGCACGGGTCGACTCGTCAGCTGAGCGTTAACTGCGTTGAGCTGAGTAAACATGTGATCTGAGAGGGGCTCTGGGGCATGAGCCAAAACTTCAGCTGATTTTGAGAGGTGTTTTTTTGTTCCACTCTTAAGTGTACCCTTCTCACTTCAGACAAAGCTTACAAAGTCTTTCAGACTGCATTGGAACAGACTGTGTGTGTGTGTAAACTGCCAGCAGAGAAGTGTAAAAGTCTTAAACGTTTATGTTAGAGCAGAAATCCAGTGTCCAACATAAAAAATTGCTTCTTGTTCAGCAGAGAAACAGGACTTTTCTGGCTAGTCTAAGACTGGACATGTTGTTCATTAAGAGGATAAGTGAGCTCAAGTCCAAAAAAGTGAAACCAAATGGGAGAAAAATGAGTCAGTGTCTGAGTTTTTTGTTTGACTGGATTTTGGTTGAGTTTTACAGAACAATAACTTCAAAAGTTTATCACTGAGACAAACTGCTCGAGGAAACAGTATCTCAGTCCATCACCCAAAACAAGAAAGAATTCACCCAGAGTAAACCCCATCATTACTCTCAACCCATCAGTCACTCAGACTACACATCCGGAGTTTCCACAATGTACGTTAAACAGTAGGGGTCGCTACTTTTCTATTGTGGAAGGCTTAGCTGGGAAAGTTGATGTATTTATACTAAGAAACATCGCAGCATGTCTCCAACCACTTGACTCTGCTTAGTTAATCAATAAACAACATCTAAGACTGTGACAGCCCATGTGTTTAACAACTTATTTGGTGTAATTGTTTAACTTAATGACTAACTCTGGTGAAGTCTACATCATTTTGGGTGATGCCCATGTTCTTAAAAACTGCAGAAATCTATTTTTATGTTCTTCAGGCGTAAATGACTCACTCAAATTATCCAACAACGTTTTTACTATTTTTTTTTTTTTAAAGCTGATAATGTGCAGTCAAATCTTCCTGTATTTTCTGAACAAGTGACATACAGGGTCTAGCGTTCATAGTAGAAATTACTGCGTTTTAAATTAGTTTATTATCAAGTACAGCCACTATAGAGGCTCATGGGTAAAAAGACCTTAGCGTTCGTCGTGTCAGGAACAAGTGGAAAGCCATAATTCCGAGTTTGTTTATCCTCACATAAATCATTCCCAGATTATTAAGGAGCCTGGGAGAAGAATTAAGATACATGTTACATATGTCAGAAAACCACTCTGCAGCACACGAAGAGTTAAAGCAGAAAAAACAGTGGCTGGCCCATGATCTTTTGGGAAGTAGCCTTCAATATGGCTATAAAAAGCAAGGAGCCTAATGGCCCTTAAGTAGGACTACAGAACCAGGGCTGAGAGAGGAAGAGTTGGCAGCCGTTCAAAAGTAGGATTTTACAAGAGAACAGCACATCTTCTGCCTGCTGACCATTTAGATAAAGAAGAAAATCCCATGCACCAAATATGGATGTGGCTTCTGCTTCACCTAGCGGGAATATACCTACGCTACGTCTGGGAAAGGTACAAGCTGATTCCCGTGCGTCATCCACCAGAGGCTTTGTCAGAAAATAACGCTCACTAAAAGAAACATCTCTGGAAGTGTTTACTGCTGAGGTGAAACCTCGGCCACTGGCTAACTCGTTTACTCTCATGACTGACTGGTACCTCTCTGAAAGGAGGAAAATCAAATTACAAACTTACAGAAATGTTACACAACTACTGGTCGCATAAAGATAGCCTCTAACTTCTAAATAAAATGAAAATATTTGCAGATCTTAAAAGTCAAGGTAATTCAAGAAAAGGTAATTTTTATATAAATCATAACCTAATATTATTCCCTAATTTTTGTGAATTACAATTAGAGACAGTTGGGGGCGAGAGAGTGATTTGGCAAATCAGAGGCCACAGGTGATGCTGGCTCAGATGGTCGATGTAGACGAGGAGACAACCTTCTCTGTGATCATATAATGTGAGCTGAGGAACATGCCAACTGCACACTTACTGTGATTATACCTGCCTATCATGTGCTTTTAAACACATTGGCCTCCTTATTTCCGTGGGAACAATTTGCAAACTCTCAAATTCACATATTTTAAGCACAGCTTTGACGAATTAGCGCTGTGAACCTCTGGGTATTTCTTGCCCGTTTCCTTTTTTAGCAACACATGGTAAAATATTAGTGGCCTTTGGCTCCATTTTAGTTTTGTGGTTACTAATTAGCTTAAGGCTTTTCATTGTGTTCTCGTTAATATTCAGGATCATCAATAAACACAATTATTTAATCCTTTTATTACAGGATTTTTCTTAATTTTAGCTATTTCTCATTTCTTTTTGCTATCTTTCAATTTTTCTTGCGTTGACGACGATGTGATGTCACCCTTTTATGCTTTTCTTTGTGTGTTTTGTCTGATTTTTACCACATTTTTTGTTTATGCCCTTGGACTAACTTTAAGGGGTACCTTTTGCTAGGTTGACTTACTTTTACCCATTATTGATCTACTATTTGTTCCCTCCTATTTTCATGCAAATCTTTAGCCAGCTGAGGTTTGACCCCACTGTTAAACACCAATGGTAACAACATCTGCACATGCGACATTTCTCACAGCACGTAAACAAACTAATGCTGGCTCTCCAGGAGGTAAAATGTGTCAGGGAGCAGGTCGGGCCAACCTTACATTAAAGAACATGAGCTGAGGAGCAACCCCCTCTGGCCTCAGGCCAGTAAACACGTCTGTGCGTGGCCCCTTGCCATAGGGTAGGGCCTTTCAACATCTAAAGAATGCCCCAGCCAAAAATAGAAGGGCCCTGACTTTTCAGATTTGAATCATCGCAGGCAAGTTTGTAACGCAGCTGGATCCATTTTCAACATTATGTATCGTTTCTTCGAGTAAGAGAGTGGAATAAATCTGTAAGTGAGTGACAGGCAGGAGGCAGGGACCGTGCATGCTAAAAAACAAACAAAAAAACCCTCCTCTCTCAGGATATTTTTAATAATTTGATTATAGAAGGAAAGCTCAACTTTGATACTTTCTCAGGCTCTTGTTTTAGCTTTGTTACAATGACAAGGCAGTTCAGAAGAGTGCTGCTATTAGACTAATGTCTTCTTAGCAGCAACAGTCTATGGTGTAAAGAGATGTGGCTGCAAAGGAAAATGGGGATTTTCTTAATAGGTTTGAGTAGATTAATCAATGAATCATTTCAGCTTCAATCAAGATCAGAAGATAACTTCTGTGCATGCCACTATTATCCTGGACCAGCGGTAACTGAACAACTAAGCGTGTGTGTGTGCGTGTGCATATAGTGGTACCTTGTCTGTTTATCTCATTCTGCAGGAGCTCCTCCATTGCCTCCTCTTCAGCAATATCCAGAGGCGTCTCGCCTTCACTGTTCACTACTCCTACATTTGCTCCCTGGCTGATGAGATACCTGCATAGAAGAAAATGTACACCAAAAACATTAAAACTTCTTGTTGTCACAGAGTCGCATTATTGTTTTAAACGGTGAATGGGAAACACCGGAGGTTAAATGTCACTTCCCGAAGTGATGGTAAACAGTTGAAGGCCAGGAGTTCATCGTGTTAACTTTGGTATGTGGTCAACCTTGACTGACATTCAGCACAACGTCTGGTTCAACATTTGCACCTTTAGGCCACATTGTGAACATTTAACAGAATTTTAGCAAAAAAATTATCAATTCTATTTCAGGAAACTATCTGGTGCTAAATTTGGTAATATGTTGTTTTGAGAATTGATACTGACAAAACTACCTAATAGTCAAGTTGCAGTAGGTTCAGTAGGGTCACCTCCAGGTTGTGCAAACATTCTGAACAAGCCACACCCAGAAGATAAAGTTAGAAAGTAAATTTATACCCAGGCTACCTGGAGTATATCTCTGATATCTGTTATCTTTCTCACATATTCATTCAACCATATAAGCCAATTCTGACACAGGATGACTGCTGGGTGTGATTATTAGCAGCATGGATTTTCCATTGAAGAAAAAAATAAAAAAATAAAAAAAAACTTAAAAATGTTCTCCCTATGGTGAGGACTAAAGATTTCGATTATAGACATTAGAACCATGGTATCTGCGTGGGTGATTCACATGTGTGGCTTTAACATACTGTATATGTGGGATTTTCTTCCAAAAGGTTTAACATCTGGAAGTTGTAGATTTCAGTATAAGTGAAGATGCAGGCACTGTAGAGTTTCACCAACTTTGTCCTCTAAGTGGGGCCGTGATACTTTGGTACTTTAAGAAGACTGACAGGTTCAACTGTGGTCTAACTGTTAAAGTGTGCTGCATATTGGTATATCTAGTGTAACAGAATAATCATAACAGAAAACCAATGATATTCCATGCTGTGTAAATTAACATAGCCTCCGGGGGAGGTGATGTTTTATGTCTTTTGATACTATTTCACATATCAAGACATACATATCTTATATCGAGATTAAACTGGAACATCTTGAGATATACTGTTTTGACCACTCTATGTTATTCTTTAGGCACTAAATTGTAGTTTAGGCACTACAAAATATTTTAATAATTAAAGGTCCTGTCACACCCTTTTACATCTTCACACCAGTGGGTCAACAATCTAACACATGAAATTATAAAACGTATTTCGTTCATCTGTTCAGCATCTAAACCACATCTGTTTCCAATCAAAGGGTTTGTGGTGGTGAAGCTAGGATCCTTCTCATTAAGCCCAACACACCACTTGAAACACACAACTTAACCCCAAATGGCAAGTGAATGACTGCATTGTTACAGTTTTATAACGTCTTGATTGGGCTTTCTATTCTGCCCACTTGAGGGTCATCTTGAGTGGGGTTGACGCTTTTGTGGTCTGGAGTCCTGCTGAGTTTCCTAACCAACCCTCCATTATCTGTCTGTGGAGACAACAGGGGCTCGCAGATATTGTCCCGCTCCTCTGTCCCAGCTCCTCAGCGCGAGGACACTGGGACTAAAATGGGACCAGTCGACATCACCCACATCAGGTTGCTGTGTTTCTCTCTATGACATGATGTCTCCATTAGTCACTCATACCAGGGCTAGCCACTTGACCTTTTCACTTGCAGTGTGACAACAAGAAGCTTGTTGTTTTCTGTAACACTAGCCCAGTGCTGAAGGCTACGCTCATGAGGCAGAGTGAAGGTGGACTGGTGGCTTCTGAAAAGTTAACGCCTCTGTGAAACTTTGTTTAAATAAAAGCTGCTCAAGTTTCATTACCACTGCCAAGAGGAGTTACATTTACAGTGACTAAAATATATACATATACTGCCCTAATAATCATAATATGTACAAGGATGGAAACAGGCTGGAGGGTAGGTGGAGGGAAGAAGGATTCCTCTAAACATGTAACAGAATTACATGTTGTGACTGTCACATTATTTTCAGCATTTGCTATTGAATAACAATCTCTTATATTGACCAAATTGAGTACTTTCATTACATATAAGACACTCCTTTAATACCTTAGGTAAGAACAGGATATATACACTATATATAAATGTTGATGTTTCAAACTGCTTCTTGGAAACTGTTCTAAGAACCACAATTCTTAGCAGAAAGAAAGGAAAAAGAATAATCAGTAATTGAAATAAATCTGCAGTCTGGCTTCTGCAACACGAGACAGTAAAGCAGGTCAGAGCAGCACACTCCCAATCTGCTGAACAATAAACAAGCAAACTGTTTCACCCACTTTATCCTCTTTAAATATCCTGCGATAAAATCTCTGTGTTGTGATCTAGGTCTTATAAACTGTCCGCTTACATGAGAAGAAATGGGAGCGAAAGTACCAGAGTGCAATTTAAGAGCTCAGACCCAGATCTGTGCGCTGACACTGATCTCTTTCCATATTTGATTACATCACTCACAATGTGTGTGTCCCAAATATTTCACAGTCTGCCACACGTGTCCTTCACTCTGTTACGGACTCTTATCCAAGAAGAAGTTTTGCCTTAAATTATTGTATCAGTTCAAAACAGCTATTTGGGTTTCATTAAACCCTCCCTTAAAGGGTTAAAGGGTTAAACACAACAAAACAAGTGACATATTTAGTGGAGGCTAGAGAATTTTAACACAACAAAACAAGTGACATATTTAGAGTAATTCCACTTTTTGTATCTTTATCTTCAGTTCCTCTTTCTAACACTGACACTAACTGCCCTTTTGTGATTCAATGCTGGAGTAGATAAGGTGCAGAGTCAGCGTCTAGACCAGGGCTATTCCACTGTAAATTCCATTGGGGTCATATTTTTAAAATGAGAAATTTGGCTTGGCCAAAGATTTTCTGTTGATAATAATCAGGAGGTCCATACAAAGTATGGACTAAAACACACACACATATATACATATACATATATATACACATTAGTCACATTTCAGTCCACCTACTCACTCACTGCAAATAAACACATTAGTTTGGAAGCTAGAGTTGTAGCAAAAAAGACATTTGTAACAACGTGCAAAATTGAAATGACAATCATTCATAATTTCACCTTCCTGAGGGACATGTTAACTGCTTTCAGACACAGAAGTGATGGATTGTGGGTAACATGTAGCCGGGCTACAAAAATGGTTGCATTTATGGTCTGTTCCATGTTCGAAATTTCTCTTCACTCGCCAATTGCAATTCTCATTTCTTTCTGCAGTTCTCAAATGACCACAAACTGGGCCACTATGGAGTTGCTTCTGGGCCACATGTGGCCCTCCTGCCACAATTTGAATAGGTCTAGACTAACAAACTGCAGCATAATTATCAAGTTCACCAGAGTGATCTCAACCAGATGTTAGTGGTTCTTGATTGGTAACCAAAGGTTCAGACCACGGATGATTTCCATGTCAATCCATCAAGTTTTTTTTCAGCACTGCAATATGGGAACTTTTTACTGCTCAGACAACATTTCACACATTTGTGATATTTGAATGTGTAAAGAGAAGCGCAAGAGACAGAATTTCTGAGACTAAATGTCTGTGCAGACATAACAGGAAGTGACTTCGGATATCAACCTTGATGAAACAGATAGTACTTGTTGCTTGGTACAAATGGACTTCCGTTTTTCTGCACTTACTCTGCGATGTCTAGGTAACCGCAGGATGCAGCAGCGTGGAGAGGGATCCAGCCCTCGTTGTCTGGCTGGTTGATGCTGGCTCCATGCTCCACCAGAAAGGTCACCATGTCAACATTGTCATCTATGCATGCCTGAGAGAAGATGAAGAGAGAAGAGAAAAGAAGAAGGATCAGGCCACTGCACAGAAAATAGAAACAAGGAGCATGGTCTGCCTTGTGTGTCTGTTTGTGTGGATGCAGATTAATGTATACACAGGATGGCATGAACCATAATTACACATAGCCTGCACACAGCAAGCATTACACTGTGTTTGATACCGGATTACTACACTGCATTCAGAAACACTGGGGAATTGTGGCAGCCGCAGCCCTCCCAAAATACCAGTGCATAGTATGGGTGCTTGAAATACCACACAGTGGAGTAGTGCTGATTGAGGCGGTGGACATGCAGGTCTAGATGCTGGTCAAGGTGTAAGACTGGAGATGTGAAATGAATCAGACCGTAGTAAAGATGCAGTATGTTGTTTTTCTAAAGTAGTTACAATTTACATTGATCCCTCATTGACCTACTGTCTGAAAGGAGACTCATTTAAAATACCGTAATGTTTTGCTGCTTCAGACAGAACCACTGGTTTCGGTGCTCCTCTTTCTCTGTTTGTGTTCCCTTCCTGCAGGCAGTGAGAGCCTGAAGTAAAACCTTAAAATGTTCCTGATGTAAACGTATTCCACCAACAGGTTTACCACATATGATGAAACCCATTTATTCAACTGTTAGGTAGTGTTTAGGCTAAAGTTAACCAGACGTTCTTAACACCATCACTGAACACCTTCCCTCGACTCCCACTCTCTGTCTCTCTCTCTCTCTCTCTTCTGGGGTTGCTATGACAACAAAAGCATTGACAAGGGAAAACAGACACACATGATTACACAGCGGCCTCACGTTCAGGGCACACCACTATCTGGCTGGAATCCTTGTCCAAATTTGGGCCGTTTGCAGCGCCGTACATGGCCTGAGACGACGAGCGCCTGCAAAGGCCTCACTGAGCTTATCTAACATGGTGTGAACGTGTGCGTAGGCAGTCAGGCTGAGCAACTTCAGGTGTACCAAGTCTTTTGAAACTTCATTTTGTTTTAACTCGGACTGACACGAGAACAATCTGCTCAACGCTGCTGGGAATGAAGGACTGGAAATGAAGAAAAATCCCAGGTTTTTGCAAACGAGTACCCATCGGAAAAGGTTTTAGTTTTAAATGAAAATAAGCATGTTAGGGGGAGAGGCCATAAGCGTTGTTTCTTTGATCAACATGCTTTGTCAAGGACCTGTAAGAAACACAAAAAGAATTTGGGTTTGTTTGTTTCCACCTATTATCTAAATCCTCTCTTCTGGGTTCCTCCCCAAACACCTATCATCTCTTTAGTGTTTCTGCTTCTCTGAGAATGGAAACAAGGCCCTGAGGGTGAAGAACACGCAGGACGTGACCTCCTTCCTTAGTTCGTCACTAGCCTTTCTTCTCTGGCTCCTCCCACAGTAGAAACGGGAACTCAGTGGTAATCTCTTAATGGTTGTAAATGTGTGGTTGACAGGTGGCAGAATTGGCATCAAAACTGTGTGCAACACAGAAGTCAGATGATGGGGGGGGGAAAGCAGAAGAAAGTGAAACGGCATTTGGCTTCTTTTTAAAACTAGAAAAAAAAAGGTAATAATGTGGGTTATGGTTCATATAAATCCAAAACAACTAAATATCTGAGGGCTAGCAGTAGACAGAGTGTATATAGGGGTGAGGGTTGACAGAAATTTAAGATTATAAAAGTAAGCATTGTGAGCTTAATCTGTCCTAACACAAGTGACTTATAGACCTGTGCTGTGAAAAGGCCAGAAATGCAGTGACTCACTCACAGTCAATAATTGCTATTCAAACCTGTTTGGCCACAGAGACAGCCAGACTGTATGGTGTTTATGTCTGACAAATGTGTATGTGTTATTTTAAAGGTTAGACGATGCAAAGGAAGGCTAAAGAACAACGGACTGTCGGTGAGGCACAGAAGTCAGAAGAGAGAGAGAGAGAATTAAAATGTCTTTAAAGAGCAACGCCTTATTTTTTAAAACTTTTTCATTCACTGCCATCTGTTGTGATTGTTTGCCAGAATTAACTACTGTAAGACAACGTGATATTTGGGTTGTCGTCATAGTTTTTTTTTTTTATCTTGTTCTAGGTTGGACCATAAATTAACTTTGCTTTTCAGATCCAGTCAATTGACTGTAACTGACACTAATCTAGTCCATGCCCTGTTATTAGTGAATACCACCAGCTCTTCTGTCAACAACACTATAACCTGAGATAGTCCAGTACAGAATAAATGAGCTGTCAGTAATTATTCTTCAGTCTCCATCATACTGGTGATCAATGTAACTCAACAGCTGTAGAAAATAATCCAGCTACTCAAGGGCAACGGACGCCCTGATGTCATTCAGGCACAGGTCAACCATTAACCTGCAGGTCAAACAGTGACAAGAGTTTCCAGGTGCTATGTTATAAATCTGATACAGAGACATGTAGGTGCTGCACTTTGGAGTGAATGCATGCAATATATTCTATATAAAATTTTACATTTACAACAAAACAGAGCACAGAAAAGGCATTGAAAGTTCCAACTGTTGGCCTTAAAACACAAATATAAAAATACAACAAAAGGCTACAAAGGAATGTAATTAGTTAATTGAGTTCAAATTTGTATTTTGTTGGTTTTGAAATGACATTGTAATGAGTGCGAAAATTCGTGAGAAGTCATTTGAGAGCTCAAACATTTATTTAATATTTGTACTAAAACTGACCAAAATAATTACCTTAAGTTCCTATTTTTGTTAAAATGAACTATCATGCTCCAGCCCTGGGCAGAGCTTAGCAGAGGCCCAAAGAGGTCTGCATTTAGTCGTGTGGTTGTGTCTTTAGTGCGGTGGAAACGCATTAATTCTTTAAGATCATTATTCTTGGTTTCTGTTCCTAGCACTTACAGTAGTAGAACAATACTGGTAAATAATAGTCCCAGATGCACTGTCAACTGAGCTGACCCGGTCAGCGTCCAACCAAGGCACCAGTCAGTGTGTGGAATACTTGAGAATTCAATCAGCCTTCAGTGAAAAAAAAACACCTATTAAGCCATTTTAAGGGTCCCAAATATGAGTGCGTAATGTGCAAATAAGCTGGTCCACTGCCATGACAACAAAGCCAAAAAAAAAAAAAAAAAAAAACGGGAACACAGAGACCTTTGTAAGTAGCATAAATAAACAAAGAAAATAGTTCATTTTAAAGCACACGGGGGTGTAGTCTGACAGACCCTCAAGGCAGGAAAAAATAAAGCAAACTGGCGGGATACAACATCAAAAAACTCAGTTGGAAGGGGCATCTGGTGGTACCATCTTTATTTTCTTAACGTCTTGCCTGCACGACTTTTAACAGAGAGATTCTCATCGCCTTTTATGGCAAAAAAAAGAGCAACGCCGTGCCTGCTGAGAGTATTTTATATGTATGGTTAATTAAAACTTTCTTTGTGCATGTAAAATTAATTTGGCATTTCACTTAAACCCAAAGGTCACTGTATATGGTAAATTTGACATTTTAAAAAATGTGTTTTTTAAAGAGGGCAATTACAGTTGCTCCAACTGTAATGGATTAAACAATAAATTCCTTAGTTATGTCTCTGTGGGTTTTTTTAAGTTGCTATCTTTGCGTACTCTATGGCTAACGTTTGGTTTAACTTTTGGCTAAATTCTTGGCTTTGTCAAACTGGGGTATTTATACTGTGTTCCAACTAACTGATATTTTACTATTTTCTATCTGACTAGATTTAAGATATTAATCCCCCAGCCCTGCTAGTTGGCCATACATGAGTACATTACACGATTTAATTTGAGCAATAAACAAATCTACTTTTTAGAGGTGATATTTACATCTTTTATCGTATAGTTTGTCTCCAATCCAGGCAAATCAAGCAATAATGTTTGCTTTAAACTTCCATCCCAGGACCTGAACTTCTCTCCTCTTCCGTCAGCCACCTCCGTAATCCCAGACCAAACATTTGAAAGCCTTCACTGTGGCACCGCTACTGTGTGTATAAGGAGGACGGTTTATTGTTTGGTGGTCCATCGTGCAGAGAGCTCCAAGCTCAATTTAGAAGCACTCCACATGAAGGAGACACTCAAAGACCCCTCCCCTCCTTGACTTCTCTTTAGTATCACACTTGGACGGCTGACTGGAGCACAGTGCACAAAGATGCTGTGGCTCTGCCGTCACATTTTACTGCTTAGAACTCAGTGACACAGGTGGGCTGCTGGGTTCATTTGTACAGGCCATTAATCCACATTCAGTAATTTACAGCAGAGGTGATTACAGACTAAAACAGAAATAAAGTTGGTGTATATTTCATTTTTGTTTTTTTGAATTACCAAAATGCAGCTTATACTGTGACTGTTGCAGAAAGCAAATGAACTATAACAAAATAACTTCAGTGTTTGTTTGTTTCCTTCCTTTGTGTTATCTGGTTCACAACAGCAGGAGTTGGTGACTTGGTCTGACAGACGACTTAGTTCTGCTATGCATATTGTCATAAATGTAATTGTAGTTTCAATCATGACAGACGTTGAACCACCATCACAGATGCCTTTAAAAAAACCTTTACAGACAAATACCTGTTTACACCCACATAAATGAGAAGTAAGAACAACACTGCAGCTTCTCCTGGACCACTATTCACTTCCCTACTCTCCCCTCCAGTACTGCAGTACAACCTCCTCTCTCTTCTATATCCACCTATCCAGTGAGCAGCACAGACCTGGACTAGCATACCATTGTAGAAATTCCCAGATAAGTAATACTCCTAGCCTTAGGGCGTCAGGCATCAGTGCTGAGGCCACTCCTCCGTGGACTACGTCATGGACTCAGAGGCGCGCAGCCACTTCCACAAAAGGAATTCCTTCTTACCGCCTGCATGTGAGTGTGAGCACAGTATGTATCAGTGATTGTATGTGTGCAAGTGTGTGAGGCTCCTCCAGACACACAGGGACAAAAAAAGAGGCAATAGCTGAATAACGGCTACAATATAGAACAACAAAAAAAATGGAAAAAAATAATATG